TGGATATTAAGGCAGGGCACCACCGTGTTGGGATCTTGTCAGACTCTGCCTGTGTCGAAACCATGGCCATTGGGGCCAAGCACAAGTGCAACTTTTGCAACCAACCTGCCCCTGTGGCTCTCTGGGTTGACAAGGAGACAGGAGAGCTCCCAGTCGCCTGCAAAACCTGCGGAATTCGCTACTGCTCCCACCGATGTCTTGACAAGGACAAGTTTCGCCATGTGAGATCGTGCGACGGCTTGGTTGAAGCCAAAGAGAATCTCTGTGGAGTTTGTGGGCTGCAGGCCGAGTTGAGGTGCTCACGTTGCAAGCTTATCCACTACTGTTGCAAGGAACACCAGAAGGTCGACTGGAGAGTACATAAGAAGAACTGCCCACCTTCGCAGAAGTGATTGCTTTATGATTGATTGACGCAACAATGGAACGACGTGTGCTAGAAGAGCCATGGAAGATCTCTTCTTGTATCAGAACACGGAATAACTAGGTAGAAACGTGGATAACAAAGCCAGCCAGCTTCGCAAGAATCCAGAAGTTAGAACTATAGCTAAAAGAGAGTGCAGTCAGTCGCTTGCGTAGTTCACTCGGCTATTCAGAATGTGCAAATCCATCAGACTCGATGGAGAAGCAGAGCCAGAAAGCGGGCACCAAGCCGTACCTGTTGTGGAGGTGACCCCGGGAATCGAATCATTTTGTCTTCGACTTGAACACATTTTCATGGCCTTGACAGAATCCTCCGAAGTCGCCGATTTCCTGTTGGCGCACAATCTGCCAAAAGAAATCGTAAGCAAAGTGCTTACAGTTCTTGCTGGTGAAGTCGTAGGAAGATCCCAATTCCTTTCCATAGAAATCCATGACCTGACCAAAAGTCACATGATAATCAGGCACCCCGCTCCATGTTTCCACTTCAGAGCTGGAGTCGATTTGTCTCTCGGAGAAAATCACGCCGTCTTGGGTGCGTTCGAGGATTGCAAAGCGGTCTCCGAACTGCAATTCCATACTGAAGTGCGTCCACATACATTCAAACGTGCGGTCTCCTTGACCAAAGGTGAAAAAGTTCTCCACTCCACGGACAACGTTCAAGAGTTCGTTGTTCAGGGACGAAACAAAGACCCGCACTCGTTCCAACTTGGCTCCATCAGAAATGCCGGAGACTAGCGGATGTCCTCCAGTCGAAGACCATTTCTTGAAGTTGATGCTTGACATGGTTTCTTGTTTGGATGGAATGTGGCAGTTCGTTTCTTTGTAAAAATGACAACTGCATCTGGGGTAACACTTGTACCGTATTATGTACAACTCTAGCTAGCTAGCCTTGGAGAAGAAGCCGCGAGGGGCGAGGAGAGTTGAAAATTTCGGTTCGTAGGGTTTTTGACGTAAAGATGACAACTGCTCAATCATAAGTGTTCGCGCATGCCATGCATGCAGCCTCAGAGTCACAAGAGTGACAGTCTGCCGTAGCCGTGCTGGGGACTTATGCATATCCATAGGAGCAACTTGGAGCAATCCACTTATGGCCATAGACAACCGGCTCGAAGGCTCGGGGAGTCGAGTGGAGTCGAGACTCTATTTCTGTGCAGGACAGGGATAGCTCTCCGCTTTGGCGCTTTGCGTAGACTCCCATTGTGTCTGGGGCAAACCATAGCAGGGAATCTAGTGCTGTGGGGAGGTATTGTGAGAACACTTGTGCTGGGCTAGCACATGTGGAATATGCAGTGCTGGGTGCTGGGGCAAACTTTAGCAGGGACTGCAGTGCTGGGGCAAGGCACTGCTGGGGCTAGCAGTTGTTGAGAACAGTGTTGGGGCCAGCTGCTGAAGGAAGTCCGTTGCTGGCTCAATCATTAGTGTCCACGCATGCATTCAACATCAGAGTCTACCGTGCTGGGAACTTGGGAGCAGCTTGGAGCAAACCGCTTAGACTTAGACAACCGGCTCTAAGGCTCAGGGAGTCGAGACTTGAACTTTGGAAGCCATGGATGCATCCACCAGGTGTAGTTGTACATGGTCCTGATGCTTGGAACTCGGCAAGCAGAGGAGTGGGCCCCAACGCCACGCAAGACAGACCATGTCCCTTGCCACTACATGTAGCTAGCTATGAAGATTGTCAGCCTGATCCAATATCGACACCGATCCTCGACGAACTTGTGACATCATATCTATGAGAAGCAACTAGTTTAACACTGACCATTACCGAATAAATCGAAGGGATTCATCGTTTGTGGCGTTCTCCTCTTACGAGCGTCATTTGCCATGGCTGCATGCCCAAGGCATTCATGGTCCCACTGTGAAAACGTGTTGTTTGTCTCTTGTTTACTCATCATCATCATCATCTGTTTCTCGTGGATCATGTTGAAATACAGCAGCGATCGACTGGGGTCTGGATGGACAATGATTGTGGGACGGTTGTTCGCACATATTGGGTTGATGTTGCAGCAAATAAAACAGAACATCGGGAGATCCCATGGCACTGGTGTATCCGTGAGTCTTTTGCAAAGCATGCGGTTGCAAGGATGCCGGCAATAGCATACTTTCGTCACACAACCACGGTTTCCGCCCGCATTGATTGAGCCGCAAGTAAAAGTCAATTTCTCGTTCGGTTTGTTCGCAATCGTAGACGGGCGATTCCAAATACAATCGTTTCAAGACGTAATTGTGTTGCAACGACGTGCGAATGGCTGCTGCGGCATGTGTGTCAAAATAATCTCCCAAATTCAATTCTTCCAGTCCCTGCCAGTGGGGCAAGTACTGCGCCACGGCGTAGAGTCCGGCATTGCCAACTTGATTGGACGGGACCCACAACTTTTTGAGACTGGTGTTGTGTACCAGAGCGCGGGAAAAGGCAGCCACACCGGCATCTCCCATGTCATTGAGGGACAAGACCAGCGACTGAAGGGTTGTGTTGTAAGGCAGTGCCGCGGCCAAGTGTTCGGCTCCCACGGTGGTAATGTTGTTTCCAAAGAGATGCAATTCTTGCAACTTTTTGTTTCGTTGGAGCATGAATCCTAGAGCTCTTGCTCCTGTATCACGAAAGGAGTTGAAATCGAGACACCAGTATTGTACGGATGCATTGCGTGCCATGGCTCGACAGAGGGGTATCATGGTGGAGTCATTTAAGTGACTTCCTTGCAAGTCCAGTCGTTGAATGCTGGCCGAGGGGGATGCCAATGCTTGAGCGAGCATTTTTGCCACGGGGATGGAAATGTGCGCATGGTTGAGACGGAGCTCGAGCAAATGGGAGAGTAAAGGGGGTGTGACTGTTGGTGTTGGTGATGGTGTTGGTGATGCTAATACTCCTGATGGTGCTGCTGGATGCTGCAAACGTCCAATGATGGGTTTGCTGGTGGTCGTAGTAGTAGTGTTTGCAGCAGACAGTAGAATCTTGGCGACCGTTTCCAATCCCGCGCCTCGTGTATCTTCTAGCTGCAGAAACGTGATTTGTGGAATGGCTTTTGCGAGTGCGAGAATGTGAGAGGGAGAGTTAATGGTCAGATTGCGCAAACTCAAATGCGTCACGACCGTGTTGTCCTGTAGTGCATCCACTAGATCTTGTACGTCTTCTTGGAGCGAGACTTCGTGTCCATCTCCATTCCGGTGCTGTTCTTCGTACATCATGGACGCATCCAAGTCGAGTTCGTACAATTCCGGGTCATTTTCCTGCAAACGACGAATCGTACGAGTCCACCAATCTTCCGTCTCTTCATCGTCATCGTCATCTTCGTCATCGTCATCATCGTTGCAAGTAGACGAAGTATCCGAGGAAATGGTACGTCCTGGAGGCGCATGCGACCCAATGTCTTCGTCGTCGTCGACCGACAGATCCACGGGTACCAGCAGTAGTGGTGAAACGACGACCAGCTGTGCCAGTTGGTGACTGAAGCCAACAAGCTTCTGGCTTGCTGCTTGGATCACTGATAGCAAGCTTGTCATCAGATTGCACAAAATGCTCAGACAGCTCATCAGCAGAGTCCTCATTGGGAGGCTTTTGTCGTGTCTTGCTGCTGCTGCTGATGCCACCTCTTCTCCTTCTCTTTGTCTTGTGCTTGCCGCCATGGTCGCCGTTGTTTTTAAAATACGTATAGCTAGCTATTAATAGTACTCGCCTCTATCTTACAATACTGCCGCCACTATACACAAGTAAGTGCCAACAAAAACCACAATGATCCTTGTGTCGATCATCAGGCTCATCCGCTGTGCCTCTCTCGTACTACACTAGTAGTACGTTGATGGCTCTTCGTTGAGGCTTCTAATTATCCATACTGCCGCCCACCACACGTTAAGTACGCTCTTTTTGCGCCACGCACCGACCGACCGTAGTGCTCCCTACTTTCCTCCGGATCCTATCTGCTATGGTAATATAGCAATAAGCTTGTGTTTATGTGAACCTGTCTTACTATCGTCATCTCATAGATTTAATCCAGCACCTTCTCTTCACCGTAGCATGTGTCACCGTAGGTCTGTGTGTGCTGTGCGCTGCTC